GCTGCAACCAAAAAATAGCCGAGCGTTGTGGCAGGCACCTGTGGTCCCAGCTACTTGAGAGGCTGAGGCAGGAGACTTGCTTGAGCCCAGGAGTTGGAGATTGCTGTGAGCTGTGAAGCCACAGCACTCTACCCAGGGGGACAGCTGGAGGCTCCTATCTCAAGAAAAAAAAAAAGGATGTCTGGATTATCTGTTAGAAACTTGGGAATGCAAGAGTTAGGCTGCTACCCCTGGGCAGTGCAAAGATGGCATCTGCACCCCCGGGGCAGTTAGAGACCTCTTTTATATAGGGCCATAGTGGGTGGGCAAATTCCACAGCTTGCCTGGAAAGTTAGGGTCTTTTGGCAGGGACTTCTCAGGGGGTGGGGCTAGCCAGATCCTTTGTCTTAGGAGCAGGGGTGGGGGAGGGGAAAGGGTTTGTGTATGGCTGCACTGGGCCCTCCAACATTAACAAACTGTGGTCTGTGTGTACCATGGAATACCATTGAGCCATAAAAAGACGGAGACTTTACATCTTTTGTATTTCCCTGGACGGAACTGAAGAACATTCTTCTTAGTAAAGTATCGCAGGAATGGAAAAACAAGTATTTAATGTATGCAATACTAACATGAAACCCATAGATAAACAGCTACATGCCCACAGGAGAGAAAAACAAAGTGAAATTCAAGTGGGTGGGGAGAGAGGGGGAGGAAGGGAGAGTGGGAAGGTCTCACCTGCTGTGCACAGTGTAAGGGTGTACAGCACACCCCTGGGTGAAGGGCTCAACCACAACTTGAACTTTACCTAACAAAGGCGCACAGTGTACGCTAATCATTTGTATCCTTATGTTAATCTGGAATAAAATATATAATACGTATTGTTGATTTCATAAGTACTCCCTTTACAAAACAAAGGCACAAAAGAATGCCTATTCCTAGTTCTCTTGTTCTTCTAGTAATTGAGGAGACACCAGGACTTTCTGCTGCCTCTAGTTGGAGCCTGCAGCCTCCCGGCAGCAAGTGGGTGAGGCCGTTCTGCAGTTACATTCGGGGTGGAAGCCCCTGACGCTCCCGGGCTGCAGGTTGCAACTCGCATCTCAGTCCTTTCCCTCTTGCTATCGGAGAAAGATTTTCCACGGGAAGATAAAGGCATTTCGAGTCTTGGGCCCTGTTTAAGACTCTTCTTTGTTCTCCTTCACTGCAGAAGTCAAGGGAGGCAGATGAGGGTTGCATCCAGTTCAAAATGGGAAATAGCCCACGGGGGGGTTTCCTACAGTCCTCAGGGAAGCTACCATCATTTTCTACCAATCAAGTATGGCCAGAGCAATTTAACCGATTCTGGAACTTTAGAGAAAGTCCTTACCTCTTCCCTATTATGCCTCTCCCCTCACTTCTGGAGCTCCTAGGGGCTTTTGTTCCTTCTAAAGTCTTATCTTAAATAAATTTAAATTTAAATACAGGCTCTGCCCTGTAGCTCTAGCAGCTAAGGCGCCAGCCACATACACCAGAGCTGGTGGGTTCAAATCCGGCCTGGACCTGCCAAACAATAATGACAACTAAGACCAAAAAATAGCCAGGTGTTGTGACAGGTGCCTGTAGTCCCAGCTACGGTGGGAGGCTGAGGCAGGAGACTCGCTTGAGCCCAGGAGTTGGAGGTTGCTGTGAGCTGTGATACTACAGCACTCTATCCAGGGCGACAGTTTGAGGCTCTGTCTCAAAAAATAAAAATAAATAAAAAGATAGTCTTTTCTATTTTTCTTTTCTTGTCTTTTTTTAATTTTTTTGTTGCAGTTTGGCCAGGGCAGCGCTCAAACCCACCACCCTCGGTACATAGTGCCGGCACCTTACTCACTAAGCCACAGGAGCTACCCTTCTTTTCTTTCTTTCTTTCTTTTTTATTTTATTTTATTTTTTTTTGAGACAGAGCCTCAAGCTGTCCCCCTGGGTAGAGTGCC